CCCCAAAACCCCAAAACCCCAAAACCCCTCAAGCAACTTATAAATATTTTACAGAGTAAGCATTATAATTGGAATTAGTTTAAATTATTCAAGCAAACATTGCTTTTATAGAGCAGATTGTTGACCAGAAACCTCCAATGGTGCCATAGACTATAATTCCATAGCAAAAATATCTTTCTTTAGTTCCTATTTCTGAGCTGAAAGTTTTAAAATAAAAGGAAATTGGAAAGATGAAAGTAAGCAGAGTAGCTATTATTGCACCTTAGAAATTCAATAGTTAACCCAAATCGGGAACAATATAGGCGATTAAGCAGCAAATAAATGCTACGGTAATTCTTGTTAAGAATGTCTTTAACATAGGATGTTCTTTACTTTCAGGAATCTGTTAGTAAATTGGAATCAACTTCATAACTTTGAAAGTTGGAATGATTTGAAGGCAGTAACTACATATAATACCAATAGAGTAGAATATTTAGACAAGATATGTCATTAGTGATGGCTTGAGGTTGAGAAGAATAATGCCATTAGTAAATTAGCCATAGGCTGAATATGAAAGGCAACCAATGAGTAATATCAATGATGCTGTAATTCCTAGTGCAAGTCCTAGAGAATGGACAAACTTATTTTGAGCATCCTCCATTTGGTGATGAATCTCAATAGCCACAGCATTTCCTTCAAACATAAACATAGCAATACCAAAGAAATATGGTATCCCTTCAATGTTTAACCATATTAGATTTTTGTCGAAAGTTGGACTGTTTATTTCCTAAATGTCAGTATAAACTATGTAAATAAGTGCAGTTCCAATTGAGAAAATTGCTGTTATAGAGATATACGAAATATTTTTCATACTTTGGATCAAACTTAAGGGAGCAAGAATTAAAAACGAAATAAAGAATAATTTCCCTTGGTTACTTCCTTAGTTTTCACCTAGCATGTAATTTATTACTTAATCCATTTGCTAGATAAAGAACTTAATGTATCCAGAGCAAGCAAATATCTACCCTATAATAATAGAGACTGCAACACTTATTCTACCATTAGAGCCATAGCAGCATTCCCCAAGATCACTATATGTCTTACACTTTCGACCATACTGTTCCTTGCATCTTGACTGCAAATAAACTGTGTAGCAGTTAAGAGCGCCATTGAGTAAAATCATTATTGTAGCTGCCAAGTACCCTACTTGATAAAACCCATACGGAGCAGCCAATATTCCAAGACCAACGAAGGACTTAACTATATTTGCTGTTGTTAATGTGACCTCTGTCTTAGGAAATGTATCAGTCAATGAATAATCGCTCTACTTTTCACAATTGAGATCTTCATCAGTGTGCTTAATCATTAATGAGCTGTCCTCATTAATAGCTCCATAGTCCTCACTTTAAGAGTTCAATTGATTCAAAGAAGATTTATTTAAAGCTGATGCAGTTTAATTTGGAGGATTTGCTTAAGAGTTACTTTCTTATAAATTTTTCATTTACTTTTAATTTTTGAAATTAAGATAAATACTTATTAGCTATTAATTAATTATTGCTTTGAAAAGCAAAATAAATAAATTTCTCATCAAACATCCTCTGCTTCCAGTTTCTTAGCCTTTGGCTTTGCTTTCTATGATAAAATTTGATTTAAATATTTTATGTTTTACTGTGAATTTCCTTGTTGCAAGAGTATCTAAATCTTATTATTAGATGAAAACTCTGGCTCTTTTATCTCCAATCTCTGTAGTATACACATTTTTCTTGAACTAAAATTTGTTACAATTAATGCAATGAACCTACTCTTTTCTTGTCAGGATTAAGGACCTTTGGCTTTCTACAGGCAAGCTTATATAAGTCTATTGCTGCTACTTAAGCTCTTCTAAGTTTAAGATCAAATCTAGGTCCTATTTCCTTCATGTCAATCATCGATTTCAAAACTTGAGGTTCACTTATTTATGGTATCTCGAACTGTCTGACTTGAATATCAGTTTCATTTAAAGAAGTAAATACCAAAATTCTCTTCATCTCAACAATGTTGACCTCATCCATGTCATTCATGTGGAAGAACTCTGATAAAATAGTTAGCAAAGTGTTTTCTTACCATATAGTAAATTCTTGATTCTCTGATGCTTTTCTGAAAATTCGAACTGCTCTCCTTGGAAAACTAGCACTGGTTTTTGTTCTCTTGATACTTCATTGATATCGAATTCATTCATGGATTTAAAGTTTAACACTCCAAATTCAAATACGTCAAGAATTCTCTTATCATAAGTCCTTCCAAGAATCAGGTTATCTGGTCTCTTCTTTTGATGATTTCCAAAGCATATTAAACTACAGTCTTACTTTCCTGCTAGTAACTCTAATGGCCCCTAATTCTCAAATGGATGAATATCATGGCTCTTTTTCATGAATAGCTTTGACCTGTCATCTTGACCTCTCATAATATGAAGCTCCTTCATGATTTGGTTCACAGTCAAACTAGATTTATTTCCTTTAATGAAGATTGCAGTTTTTGGGTTCTCCACTACTTTTGCTGCTCTGTTTTCTAGAATCTTTCTTCCCTTGTGAGTTTTACCTTTCCTAATGTCTAGAGTCTTTTGTTATAGTCCTACATCAAGTGACTTTTTAGAGTCAATCTTCTTTTGAGCCTTGGATCTCTGAGGTATTTGCTTTCCCATATTGATAAATATATTTGTATTTAATAGAACGAATTGCAAACACTTAAATATCAAAAATGAATGTTATTCTTTGGGGTTTTGGGGTTTTGGGGTTTTGGGGTTTTGGGGTTTTGGGG